TAATTGTTATCATGACTAATTGCAACTGTCACAATTGCAAAGGTAGACATTTTGTAACAAAAACTGGGGAGTAGTTAGCTTACAGCCCAGAAATACAGGAACCTAGGAACCTAGGAACCTTATCCAGAGAAGCAGGGACACAAGAGATGGAAGCAGAGATGGGAACATGGAAAGAGGGAACACCTGAGGACTCTAGATTGATGGAAAGAGAAGGAATGAGTGCTGGTGGCCAGGAGGCAGGCTTCTAGCATGTGTCCTTTGGTTGTTTAAATTATTACATATTGCTGGGTGTTTCTGTGTTCATCCCTCTCCCCCAAAAAACAAAACAAACAACTAAATTGTATTGCTGCCTTAATAGTACCCAATCCTACACCTGATGTGAGGATATAAGTTTGATTTTATAAATAGTACCTGTAGAGAATCACTTATATCATTGATATTTCTTTGGAAGACAAATCAACAATACAAGTATATTTTCCTTGCATAAGTACCTGCTTTTTTCCTGAATTTTAAAAATACTGAAATAAGAAAGGAGTAGCGTAAAAGAAGAGAAGGGATGGTGGTTGTCTGAGCAGCAGAGTTCTGGCTTGCTGACACCCTCAGCAAGACTCATTGATCTTGGAGATTCTCACTCTCCTTTACTAAACAACGGTGATTCACACAGTGTTACACAGCCGCTGTGGCAAAGTTAATAGGGATCTAGATTCCCCTAACATTTCTTCCTTCCTTCAGCAATTTCTTGGTGTACTGCAAGCTAAAATATTAAGTGAGCTTTTCGTACACTTATGAGAACGAGAAACAAACAAAGGGTGGTTAGCACGGAATTAAAAGTGGACACTTGTGTTTCTTTCAAAAAGAAAGAAAGAACCTATGATGGTTACAGGGTTTGGGGGAGGGAAAATTATTCGTGGGCTACAGAGTAGACACCATGTTAACATGGGTGACAGGGTAGGCAATGTACAACAAGAGGAAAGTTAACAGAGGAAAGACAAGATAGCAAGAGACAGAGGGAGGAATGCAACAGTGAATAGAGGAAAATACTGTCACCTATTGGTACATGGAGTGAATTGCAATTTTTTGGATGTATAACGGATGATCTGCTCTGTAAATTTTCATTCAATTCACAATAAAAAGTTAAATAATAATTAATGAAACCATAGGAGGATAAACAAATTTAATTGTGTCATATCAAAAGTTAGCATATCCTATTTTAGAAGCATAACTCAAATGTAAACAAAAATTAAGAAAAATTCTATATAATTAAAACTCATAAGGAGCTCTGGTAGTGTAGTGCTTACAAATCGGGCTGTGAACCACAAGGTCAGCAGTTCGAAACTACCAGCTGTTCTGTGGGAGAAAGATGAGACTTTCTGCTGCTGTATAGATTTACAGCCTCAGAAACCGTGTACAGGGTTGCTATGAGTCGGAACCAACTCCATGGCACATAACCACCACCACCACCAATTCAAACCCATTGGTAAATAAAGAAAGGAGCTCTGGTAGGGTAGTGGGTACAAATCGGGCTGCTAACCTCAGGGTCAGCAGTTCGAAACTACCAGCTGTTCCACGGGAGAAAGATGAGGCTTTCTGCTCCTGTATAGATTTATAGCCTTAGAAACACTGTACAGGGTCGCTATGAGTCGGAACTGACTCCACAGCACATTGCAAGAAAAATGGGTAAATAATCTTAATATTTAAAGAATTCATACAGGTAAATAAGTAAAGCACTGATAGGACATAGATTAACAGAGTTGTTATTGTTGTTGTTAAGTGCCATCGAGTTGGTTCCGGCCCATAACAAACCTGTATAGGCTTTCCAAGGAGCAGCTGGTGAGATTGAACTGCTGAGATTAATGAGAAGAGAATATAAGTACAGAAGTTTATAGGAGAAAATGACTTGTTGACGTAGAAAATTGTTCAACAAAGTAATAAAATTTTGAATAGCAATGAAACTGACACTCTTACATATTGCAGTTAGAAACATATTTTGCTACAAAATTTGAGTATAGTTGAATAACATGAATTAAGAACTTTGAAAATATGCCTGTCCACTGCCTTATGAACTTCTGGGATCTGTGATAAGATTGATATGAAATTTGCTTTGTGGAACAAGATGCTCATGATGACATTATATATTATAGAAGAAAACATATGGAAACGATTACGTTAATCATCATTTCATCTGCTCACTGAAAGGTGAACTATGATTGGAGAGAAACATTCATTATGCTTATACAGTGAAAAGAAAACCTATGCATGTTATAATGTTAAGTGTGTCCTGATCTGGGATCCACTGTGTTTTCTATCATGAGGGGCACTTACTGAAAACTCAAATTGTTGTTGTTAAGTGCCGTCAGTCATTTCTGACTCATAGTGACTCTGTATAGTGTTTCCAAAGAGTGGCTGGTGAGTTTGAATCACTGCCCTTGTGGTCCAAGCTGACCTTGCAGTCCAGTGCTTTATCCCACAGTGCCACACTAGGAAAACCCAAATATAACAGCAAAAACTACATTAGAGTGGACTTACACTAGACTTTAAGGAGTCCTGGTGGTACAGCAGTTAAGCACTGGACTGCTCCAAAAGGTTGGTGGTTGAAAACCATCCGTGGCTCCGCTCCATTGGGAAAAGACTTAACATTGTGCCCCTGTAAAGATGATAGCCTCTGTCACATGGGGTTGCTATGGGTTGAAATTGACTCAGTAGCACCCAACAACAACAATATATTGATTCTAACATTTGGAGGTGGGCCTGATACTTCCCCCAGGATACCAAATATATAAGACCCCTTTTGGTGCAGTGATTACATGCTTGGCTGTTAACCAGAAGGTCAGTGGTTCAAACCCACCAGCTGCTCCATTTAGCAGTGTGCCCCCATGATTACAGCCTTGGACATACTATGAGGGCAGTTCTACTCTGCACTATACAGTAGATATGAGTTGGAACCCACTCTTGGTTTTAGCCAAATATATATGCATTCCAAACTACCAGCTGTTCCGTGGGAGAAAAATGAGGCTTTCTGCTTTTGCAAAGACTTACAGCCTCGGAAACCCTGTACAGGGTTGCTATGAGTTGGAATTGACTCCATGGTACATCACCACCACCATGTTGTTGGTAAGTGCTGTTGAGTCAGTTCCGACTCACAGCCCCTGTATGTATAGGGTTTCTGGGAAGTGGCTGGTGGGTTTGAACCGCTGACTTTGTGGTTCACAGTCCAGTGCTTATCCTACAGCACTATACCAGGGCTCCAAATATATATGCATATGTAATTAATAATCATAATTAGAAAACAGTCATTACCTAAACTGTAAAGTAGAAATGAGCCACCAGGAAAGAGTTGCATTTTCTCACCATCAATTATAAAATGTATATGTCTTTACCACAATATAATTGCAGCATTTATTTTTCATGACTTAGATGCTCTTTAAATCAGCTTGAAAACATGATTTGGAACCTACTTTCTCTCTTAGAATTACACTGTTCCTGCTGGTGACTTGTTGCTGCTGTCCCCATTTTGGCTACATAGGAATCCAAAGTATTTTCCTGAACCTGAATCTTTCAAACCTGTAAGTTCTTACTTTAAATATGCATTATCCTTTTACATTAATTTCTTTTTATTCACGGATGATGAATCAATAAATTGACTAGGATCATATCAATAAGCAACAGTATTTCTCTGGTAACTAAGAATCAAGTTGGTTACAAATTGCAGACTAGATTACTAATATAGAAAACTCTATGGAATAAGTGTCCCCTACTTTAAAACAGTTTCCACTTAAAACCACATGGCCACCATTCATCTGTCAGTTTGTCGTACTACGGTGACTTGTAAGTTGCTGTGATTCTGAAAGCTGTGTGTCTGGTATTTTAAATACCAGCAGGGTCACCCATGGTTGATAGGTTTCAGATAAACTTCTAGATGAAGACAAACTAGGAAGAAGGAGTGACAAACTACTTCCAAATATTTAGTCACTGTAAACCTTAAGAATAGCAGAGAAACACTGTCAGATATAGTGCCGGAAAATGAGCCCCTCAGGTTGGAAGGCACTCAAAATGCAACTGGGAAAGAGCTGCCTCCTCA